GCAACCTGTGTAACTTCGATATCCCTCTCTCTTTCGGTAATCATTCTGAGAACTTAGAATTGCATTATTTAGGTCTCTTATCAATTTTGCAATAACTCAAATTTATTTTCAATTACCTTTAGTTTTTTCTTTCTATTTTTTCTGTTGAATTCGAATTGAAGTGTTTAGGAGATTGAGTGGTAATATGTAATTTTGCTTAGCTTGCATTATTTTGCTTCTTTTTGATTCTTTTATTAACTAGTCTTTTGGCTACAGAGAAAATGAAGGATTATTTTTTATTGTGCTATTTTTTGCTTGTTTTTGAGAATGAATGTCTATTTTGTAGTCTGATTGGTGAGATTTTAATTGTTAGAATTTCAATTTTTGTTGTAAAGGAAAAAGGAATGTCTATTTTGTAGTCTGATTGAATTTTTTTTGCTATTGTTCTGTGTAAAAAAAGTGCTTTAAATTTCTGTTATAAAGGTAAATTTTTTTTATAATTAAAATTGTCCTTGTATCATTTAATATATAGTAGGTACTAGACTGGAGGAAGCAACTTTTAAATTATTTTTACTTGTATTTGGCAGCAATACTTTTCATACGAAGATACCCTAAACAGTTGGGTGGATAAAGCTGTTGGTAAGAAGTGGAAGGATCATAAAACCTGGTTGAAGGGAAGATTTTATTATCCTGAAAAGTCTGAGGAGGAAAATGCTAGAAATGTTCCACGCAATGTGTTACCTAATGATTGGCAGTACTTGGTACACTACTGGAAATCTGCTGATGGCAAGGTATGGAACTTCCTTTTAATTCTATGGTTTGTTTGATTACTCAAGTGTTGATAATAATCTTAAATTTTATAGAAAAAGGAAGAAAAATGCAAAAAGAGTCGAGCAATGCAGAAGATTACACATACAACTGGTAGTAAGAGCTTTTCTATACTACGAGATGAAATGGTAAAATCTAATTTCAAATTTTTAGTGTTCTTAAGAGCATAAAAAGACTACGTATATGAAATTTTGTTCTTATGTAGGAAGAGAAAAATGGTGGTGAGCTTGTGGGAGAAATAGATTTTTATATGGCTACTCATTTGAACAAAGATGGCAAATGTGTTGATGAAGAAGCAGAAAGTACAGTGGTACATTTTATATTGCTATTCACTTGAATAAAGATGGCTAATATGTTGATAGATTAGTTTGTGCCCTATAATCTCTTTAATGCTCTATTATTTGCTTGTATAGAAAAAGGCCAAAGAAATGCACAGAGAGAGGTTAGCAACTAGCTCATTAGATGCAATATCCCTACAACAGGCAGTTATGTCTGAAGTGAGGGGTAAGGAGGCTTATGGTCGTGTTCATGGCTTGGGTTTAGGGCCTACACCAACAAAGGTCTTTGGTGCTCATACATTTGCCTCTACAGCTGCTCAAAATCAAGAAGTTCTTGAGTTGAAGGATCAGGTGATTAAACTTTGAGAACAAGTGGCTTCTCTAGCTGCTCTAGTTAGGCAGTTGACTGCAAATATGAACCCTTAAACTTACTAGGTTGGTTCTTACCATTCCTATGACTTATCTGTTGACACTTGTTTGGGGCTTGTTTAGTGTTTAATGGAAAAGAATATAGTTTTTGTAAATTCCGACTCTGGAGGTCTTTATCTGCTATTGTCTTTTAATTTTCATTGCACAATAAAATAAATTTTGATTAGTATAAGCTTCTAAATTTTGGTGGGTGAAGATTCTATTTCTATGTTGTTTTGCTTTTTGGTTTAATTATAGTAGTAGTTTAGTCATTGTCTAAATTGCAAGCTCATCAATTATGTTTCCACTAGTAATCCAGATCCTTGGTTAACTGAAGAAGTCAGTACTGAATTCTTAAATTGTGATAGGCATTGTTTTATGGGTTCAGTTGCAATTCTGAACACATTGAGAAAGACATGGCAAAGAAATAGCAAGAGATGGTACACCTTGAATCCCATATTAGATTTCTGGGATAGGAATTTGATGCCAAAATCTTACAGTAGTTTCAAAATTGTTTCTTGTTTGTTTGCCTTCTGTAGTGTTACATGAGTTTCAAAGTTGTGCTTTGTCAAACTAATCCTGCTTGTGCCAAAATGTATCTTGTTTGCATTTTAGGGTGAACAAGGAGTGCCAACCTTTCCAGATGCATCTTAAAGTAATGATGCTACTGGTGGCAGCAATGTAAAGCATTTGTATATGAAAATTTCAAGATTGCAGTGACTTTAAGTGTTAGTAGCAAAAATGTCATTTTCTAGTTATTTTGTGTTTGAATATGGCAACTCAAGCTTTTAGATACTCTTAGACATGGTTGTATGCTATTTGGATATCATTTTCGATCATTTTTTGGGGATAGCATTGGTGTATTCTGTTTTTAAGTGGCGTATTCTGTTTTTAGGACTTAAACATTTGGATATCATTGTTATATTTTCTCTAGATATGAAAAAATTAAGCATTCAATGATATGTATTTTGTGTAGATTTTTGATTAATTGATGTTATATTTGCTTTGATTAATTGTGCTTGATCTTAAATGGTTCTGTCAACAAATAGGTAGTGTTTTGGTGACAAAAAATAGTGAGAAGCCGA